CAGTTAATTAAGAAGGCATATGAGGTAAACAAAGGTGGTTATAATTTATCTTGGGACCATAAACAGAAATCGTGCCTTAAATAATCTCTTTTAAAAAATACGTTATACGGCAAATCCTTCATTTTCCTCCAGAGCGACCACCTAATGGCATAGAGCAAGTGTTTAGAGGAGATGTTAAGTGAGGAAGCAGCTGGGGAGAGCAGGCCAGCCTGCGGGCCTCCCAGCCACAGCTCAGCAGCGGTGGTCTCCTACGAGCAGTCCTGGTCTCCTTAGGAACATTTTCTGAAATATAGGTCTTTTGGAAGCCAGAGGGCACTTTTAAAAAGAGAGAGAAAAATACGTCAACTAATGAAAACTTGAAAGAGTTTGCATATTTTAAAGGCAGTCTTTTCCATTCTGTCTAATTTCATCTTCTTTGAAACTGCCTAGCAGATACAATGCACTTTTCCTTGCATGTGGCTGGGGAAAGTCACAGCGATGGCAAACAGGGACTAGGAAAAGATATCCTCTGAGTATTTCTGAGCTCAGTTGGCCACATGTGCATTCATTCTCTTGTTCATTCGTTCATTTATTTCAAATGTTCATTCAAACATTTCTTCACTACGTACCGTGCTCAGCGTACAGGGTAGACACGTGCGTGGGTATTGCCATCTTGTCTCTTTTCTCCTCTCACACAGAGCCTTTCATTGACCCATGGGATCTGGGTATTTCAGGTGAAAATACCCAGCTAAGAGATGGATATAGGAGGTTAAAGGTCTGGGGGAAAATAACATCTTGGGTTATTTGAGTTATGTGAGCAGGGGACAGAGGGACGTGGCCGGAGATGGTGAACATTCAAGCGCTGGAAGTGGTGAAGTTCAGCAGGGAAAGGTGCTCCACTCCACTCAGTGGGTCAGAAGGGCACCTGGAGGAGCCTCTGGAAAGGCAGAGTCACCCACTATGTCACTGCAGCAGAGACTCAGCCAGGAGAAAATGAAAAGTTTCAGGTAGATTTTCAAATTATGCAAGTTTGGTAGAAGCAGATACAGCAAAGTGGAGGGTTCAGACTCCACCACACCCCCTCAAAAGGGTGTCCAGAAGCAGACAGAAGATCACGGTGATCTCGCCAGAGACCAGTTTTCATGAGAGGTGAGCAGGGGAGAGGTTTTGGATGGTGAAGCCAACATAGGAGGAGTCAGTTTGGAGGGTAATTCAGGCTCAAGGGTAAGACATGAATGAGCGGCTCAGTTTTGGGGATTGGAGAGACGCACTTTTTTATAAACTGATGGAAAGAGCCCTTAAAGGAAGACGGGAGGACTGAGGGTGTGGGGGATGGTATTGCATGAAGAACTCAAGGCCATGCTCTGCCCCAAGGCAGGAGAAAATGGGATGAGGATGGTGAGGGCTTCTCTGTAGGTGCATGGGCAGAGGGGCTGGGATGACCTATTGGCTTCAGGTTCTTCTGAAGCAGAAGTTCAAGATCGAATGCTGGAACAGGTGAAGGAGGTCCAGTGAGAAACTAAAATCATGGTGAAGATTGAGACTTGTCATGAAGGGAAACAGGAGAGGAAAGTCACCAAGGACAAGAAAAAGCCGAATTGCCTTCTTCAAAGGATGGTTTCCTTCCATCTGCAGTTCATTCTATCTGTTATGCAGAGGAGATGGGGGACTGTGGGAGATGGAGGACTCTGTGAGATGGGAGACTCTATGAGATGGGGGACTGTGGGAGATGGGAGACTCTGTGAGGAGACGGAGGACTCTGTGAGATGGAGGACTCTGTGAGATGGAGAAGTCTGTGAGGAGATGGAGGACTCTGAGGAGATGGGGGACTGTGGGAGATGGAGGACTCTGTGAGACGGAGGAGTCTGTGAGGAGATGGAGGACTCTGTGAGATGGGAGACTCTGTGAGATGGGGGACTGTGGGAGATGGGAGACTCTGTGAGGAGATGGAGGACTCTGTGACATGGGGGACTCTGTGAGGAGATGGAGGGCTCTGTGAGGAGATTGAGGACACTGTGAGATGGGAGGCTGTGGGAGATGGAGGACTCTGTGAGATGGAGAACTCTGTGAGATGGGAGATTCTGTGAGATGGGGGACTGTGGGAGATGGGAGACTGTGAGATGGAGGACTCTGTGAGATGGGGGACTCTGAGATGGTGGACTATATGAGGTGGAGGACTCTATGAGGTGGAGGATTCTGTGAGGAGATGGAGGACTCAGTTGGGGGACTCTGTGAAGAGTTGGAGGACTCTGAGTTGGGGGACTCTGAGGAGATGGAAGACTCTGTGAGGAGATGGGGGAATGTGTGAGGAGATTGAAGATTCTGTGAGATGGAGAACTTCTCTTTCTGCAAGGAGGATTGTCATTCTTCCTTTGTCTTATGCAGAGGAGGTGGAGGATCCTGAAGGGAAATTCTCTTCTCTTGTATTCTGCATACTCCTGAAGTGGGAGTTTATAATGCTCATTTTACCAAACCCTCTCCTATAGGTTTATGAGACATTAAAAGTTCTCTCTCTCTCTTTTTTCCAAGTGAGAAAATAACATTTTATCTGATTCCAGAGATTCACAATCTCCATTTTAGCAGGATGTAAAAAAGAGAAGACATTGCTATAGATGAGAACCTGACAGGCAGCTGCCAACCCCGCAGGCTCTTCTCATCCTGGCCCAGTACCAAGGATGTGTGAGAGTTCTTCCTAAGAAAGGAGGCGGGAAGAGATGCTTAGGATTGGCAGATCCTGCATCTCTTGAGTTATACACTTTGATGAGCGTTGTTACAAAGCCCCACAAATGCATGAGGGACACTACACAGTGGGGGCAGTGGGCTTGATCTTTGCCTCATTCAGACAGACAGAACTCACAGCACTGTCACAGATAGGGGCGTCACTTTGAGTGACTCGGCGTTTACAAACTGAGAAGGGTTTCTGAGCTACAGATGAAAAATTATACCATCCTTTCATAAAGCTAGTCATGTTGTGAAGTGGGAAATCTGCATAGAATCAATAGATTCTGTCTGAGAGTGAAGTTTGGCCCTGACAGGAGCAGGGTTGCTGAACAAATTAGCTGCCTTCAATTTCCCAATCCGTGAAACAGGAATTCCAATTCCTGCTTCCCAGGACAGTGTAAGGCTATGAAAAAATCCCCAACATGCTGTCTACCGCCTAAGAAACAGTAGTACTATTTTCACTGTAGTTGAAGATATTCGTAATTGTCATAAGTGTCACCATCATCTTCGTAACCATGTCCCTGAAACTTATTAACTATACATTTTAAATAATTTACTCTGTCAGTCAGGAAAATGGAAGACACGGTATCCCCAGTCTAAATGTTTTCTGATGCAACATTTTTATTAAATATAAGATTTATAGAAAAAATGTACAAATATTAACAGTGAATTCCAATGAACTTTTACAAACTGAACATGCCATGTAACAAGAATCCAGAACCATAAGTTCGACATTAACAAGAAGTCCCCCTCCTCACAGTCATTACCTCCCCAAAAGTAACCACTCTTCTAAGTTCTAAAGCCATGGATTTTTCTTCTGATTTTTAAGCTTTATGTAAATGGAATTATCCAGGATGTATTCTTTTGTATTTGGGCTATGATGATTGTGATTCATCAAAATTGCTATTTGTTGGGAAAATTTGTAGTTATTTCATTCTCATTCCTTTATCATGTCACATGTATGAATACATCACAGTCTATTCTATGGGTTGATTGATGGGTTGTTTGTAATATGAACTACTCAAAAATTGCTGCTATATTCATACGACTTTTGTGAACATGTGTGTACATTTCTACTAATATATATGTAGAGGTAGAATTGCTAGGATGTAGGATTGATGGATGTTCAGCTTGAGTAGATAATTTCAGTTTTCCAGAGTTTTCCAACAACATGCAAACATAGTTGTACAAATTTACTCTTAAAAGTAGGTGAGTTCTAGCTGCTCCAAACACAATGCTTTGTTTTGTCTGTCATTTAAATTACAGACTTCTCTTATGTCTATAGTAGTTTTAATTTGCATTTATCTAATAATTACTTAATTTGAGACATTTTTAACATGCTTTTGGCTATATAGATACTCTTTTTTGGGGTACCTATTGAAGTCTTTCTCCTACTTTGAGATGTCTGCCTTTTTTACTGATTTGTGTAAATGTTTGTGTATTCTGGGTAGTCTTCTCAAACATGTGCCATGCGAATATCCTTTCTTATTTTGTGGCTTCACTTCTCCTAATGGTGTCTTTTGATATGCAGACATTATTAACTTTAATGGAGTTCTGTTTGTCATTTTGTGTTTCATGGGTAGCAATTTTTTGTGTCCTGTATAAGGTCTACCTACCTTAAGGTTGTGAAGATGCTCTTGTATGTTTTCTCTTAAACATATTGTTTTACTTTTCTTTTCACTTGTAGATCTATACTCTGTCTGGATTTTGTTTTTATGACGTAGGTGTCAGGATTTATTCTCTACCCCAACTCTGTGTGTTGATCCACATCATGTGTTAATAAAATAACTCTTTTATCACAGAAAGTTTTTAATGCAAGGAAATAAAACCTAGCAAAATTTTGATAAAGCCAGGGCAACAAAGGACAGTGAAGCTATTGCTGAATTTCTCAGCTTGCAACACTACAACAGGAGCTGTGCCTGGGAACTGCTGAAACAATGGCATCTACTTCCTCCCCACACTGGTCTATGAGTCACCTGTGCTTCTTCCCGCCACAGCTGCTGGAGGACACGGACTCCTTCCTTTTCATGGAAGCTGAAGGGGAAAGGATTCTAAGAAACATAGTCCTAGGCTTTGTCTTGGGGACAAAGCTGTAGAGGAGACTCTAGGAGGTGGTGATGATGCCAAAGTGTATAGTTCACATAGTCACTAACATTCTTGTGCCTGTGATGCAGAAATTAATTTTGAAGTTGGGTTAGATGGTCTCTAAGAACTTTCTACCTCAAACATTCATTAAAACGCTAGATGTTATAAATGCTTTCTTAATAAATTTTATTCATTCATTCAGGTATGGAACTAGGCCACGAACAAAAAAAGAAAAAGAAGGAAAAGCACTTTTATCAGAGGCACTTCGAACACCACTGAAACAGGAGCATGCAAACAGAGGATGCAGTGTAGGAAAATAATGGCTATGACTGTAGGAATACACAGTGCAGCAGGTTATAGGCAAAGGTGTATCCAGGCCACCCAAGGGACGCCCCTGCAGTGTTACTGGGAGGCCGTGTAGAATCCTGCCGGGAGGAGTGGAGCAGGACTGGGAGCCCCAGAGAAAGAACAGCAGGTGTGCCCAGGGATGCCATTGTAGTACCTGGGAAAATGTAAACTCAAGCTTTGTTTTCTTTTATCTTGAATTTCTTGAGGAAAACCACAGGTGCCTTCAAGGAAACAGATGGAAGTTGTAATCTGTTTTGTGTAACCAAAGCATTAGGCAGTGTTTGTATGGCACCGGGCAAGTTACTTCCTCTCTGCGCTATGATCTCCTCTCTCAGTTAAATCTCCAGGATTCTTTGTGGCTCTTGCAGTTTGGGCTCTTGAGGGTTCTTGAGTTTGTTCTTCTTCTGCACTTTATTTGCAATTGCAAATATTCCGGCATGTCAGGCTGACAAGTTAAAGACAAATGCATCTAGGCTGGCTTTGTCTTCTCTACAGGTTTCTTTCCAGAATCTTTGGACAATAGGTGGCATGGTGGCAGAAAGGGGAAGAATGGACGTGGTGGGTGTCAGCCAATCACAGCATATTCAGTGATTCCACATGGCTTGGAGAGTGTTGAATCATGAGGAGGCTGGCAAAAGGGTCCTCTCCTCATGAGGCCTGGTTAATATCAGGAATTATAGCCTCAAACGCTGCAGGTGTGGATCGATCTCTTTCAGTCCCAGTAAATGGGGCTGCAACTGCCTTTGACAGCCTCAAAGCTGCACAGTGCTCATGCCCCAGGGCAGACAATGATGTGGGGGAGTTGCTGATTTTAGGATAGAAAATTACAATGCTTATATAGTAAACAGCACCTGGAAGTTTACTAATGATTTTTACAATTAACAGCAGCAGTGCAGTCTGATTATTCATGCGTGCTTTCTATGAAAGAAAAGAAAGGAAGCAGATGTTGAAAAAAGTCACATGGCTTAGATTTTATTAGGAGGGGAGATGTGGTGGTGAAAGAAGGATGTATGGGTAGGAGCAGGAGGAAGGAAAGAGTGTGAGGTAGAGAATTCTTACTATGATTTTCTTCAGATTGTAATATGCAAATCGCACTCTTCCAAATTTCAAAATTAACCTCCAGGTATGTTCAATATCACAAGAACTCTTTCTACAGCATGTGCATTTAAAACTTTATGCATTTTCCAGTAGCTAGGCAATTTCTAGGTGCATTATGTATTCAATAGAAACATATATGATTGGGCATTTTTTAAAAATTGCATACTGAATATCGGGTTGCTCTGACAAACATGTAGGCTGCTTGGCGAATTCTTCTAAATCCCACCAGGTGGGCTCACAACTAATTTCCAAGAATTCTATTTTTCAACCATGAAACCATCTGTATTATATTTTAAAGTTTGATGACTGATTCCATTTTTTGTCACCCATCATTGATCAGTATTTTTAATTCCTTGCCCAGCCCACAGTAAATTCTACTTCCTTTGTCTGTTATAGAATCTTTTTTTTTTTTGAGATGGAGTCTTGCTCTGTCACCCGGGCTGGAGTGCAATGGTACAATCTCAGCTCACTGCAGAATCTACTTATTTTTTATACTGAAAAGATTATGCAGCATTATTAAATAATGTTCTAAATAATTAAATCTCCTCTCATCTCAACAAGCAGATGCAACAGAATTCCTTTTTTGTTATATAACATCCTGGCTCTTGTCTATACAAAGATTTATTTTTATATAGTGTAAATCATACAGAAATTGTTATTTTGTATTTTACCTTGCTTTGGAAATTTAATAACACGTTAAAAACCTTTCCTATATTTATGTAGTCTTTTTTTTTTCTTTTTTCTTTTTTTTAACTGTGTTGCTCTGTTGCCCAGCCTGGAGTGCAGTGGTGCAATCTCAGCTCACTGCAACCTCCACCTCCCAGGTTTAAGAGATTTGCATGCCTCAGCCTTCTGAGTAGCTGAAACTACAGGCACTAGCCATGAAGCTTTTTTTTTCCTTTTTTTTTTTTTTTGTATTTTTAGTAGAGATGGGGTTTTGCCATGATGTCCAGGCTGGTCTTGAACTCTTGGCCTCAAGTGATCCACCTGCCTCAGCCTCCCAAAGTACTGGGATTATAGGTGTGAGCCACCACGCCGGCAGTTCTATGTAGTCTTTGAATGTACTGACATTTTCTTGGATGTTGAAAAATTTAGTATTTTTTACATGTGGTAATAACCAATTGTTGTTGGGGAATTTTGTACTATTTTAGATAACACTATAAGAAATGCACTTGAATAGATTTTTGCTTCTGTTAAACTTTTTTTAGGTAAAATTCCAAATGATGGGGTCAACTCGTCACAGGAAAAGAGCCACAACTCTCAAAGAAGGCTCTTATATCTTGTTATGTTATTGGACTGGACAGGAGCTGGTGCCTGCTAATTCAGTCCAGCCTCACCAGTATCAGAGTGCGGGTCTCTGTGTGTTTCTGTGCACACACATGTGTGCATGCAAATTTTCCAATCTATGCCTAGTATCATGAGATGGTTTTAAATCTATTATTTATTTAATTATCGGCCAAAATATTTTTCTATTTTTAAATTTATTGAAGTTTCTCCCATGTATCAAGGGACCTTTAATATTTCCCTCATTTAACTACCATTAGAATCTTAACATTTTATTGAAAATTTTCTTAGTCAGTAAGCTCTACAAAGGCAGAGGTGTGTTTATATATACACAGAGATGAAAAGGGTCTTGCCCCTCTTTATGTCTCTCTCACTTTCTTTCACTTCTTTTCTTCCTTCCTTCCTCCTTTCTCTTTCCTTCTCTTTTTCTCTCTTTCTTTCTCTTTCTTCCTTCCTTCCTTCCCTCCCTCCTTCTCTCCTTCCTTCCTTCCCTCCTTTTCTTTCCTTTCTCTAACATTCCTTCATTCATTCCTTTCCTTGTCCTTCCTCTTTCACCTTCTCCTTTCTCTCTCTCTCCACTCTCTCCTTCTTTCTTCAATGTTTCTGTTGCTGAGGACCTCAGTAGACAATACTGGTTTTATTTGAGATTCCTAATTAACAAACAAATATGGTTTAATTGTTTTTTTTAATCTGGGTTCAACCTGGATCAGAAGCCAAGCCTCATGCTGTACTTCGAAGGGATGACTAACAGTTTTGTGTTCCCGACCTTCTATCTTACAGTCCTTCTCTTCTATCCCCAGTGAACCATTTGGCTGATAACATCCCTCTATAGTTGAACTTCTGCCACATTTGTGGATCCACATTAAGGACAAAAGTATATGAGAAATAGAGCCACTCAGAGCCTGTCTGCTACACACGATTTCAGCATGAGGGCAAAAAGCATGGTGCCAATGGCTAGTCTCTGCCGTTTACCTTTACCTCTTCCTTAAAAGGTGAGACACGTTAAGTCAGTGTTTACCTATATGCTATATCTCAGACCTGTCACCAAGAAAGCTCAGCAGAGATTTTGTAGGTAAAAAGAGAGAGAAAATAATGTCTTGTGTGTCTTTAGCAACGTGTGCACAATGTTTCTTAGCACTGTGGGCAGGTAAATGCATCTTGGAGCCTCAGTTCTTCATCAATAGATTGTGGATGATATGAAACACCTCACAGAATTCTTGGGTAGTTAGTTGTGAAAATGTGTGCAGAGTGTTCGGCACAGTGCTGATCACACATACACATCTCAGTGAGCCTTAGTTCTCTGTCCCTTTCTTCATGGACAGATGGCAAGTGCAGATCTTGCACATTGTAAAGTAGTACAGTTCTTAAACCTGCATCACCTAAGATCTAAACACTGGGTCTACTAAGTTCTAATTCACCTACTGAACTTCCCAGGTGATGGGAGAAAACTTGTCTTTGTTCATTCAAAGGAGCTAGCATCTGGATATTCATATGCACATACTTTTATCCCTCCCAAAATGTCAAAGTTTATGCAAATGTAAAGATGATCATTAGAAATTGGTCTCCAGCCTTTTTGGACTTGGCTTCTCACTTGAGATAGAAGATTCTGGAGACATTTTCTAATTGATGTGTAATGCCTTTCTCATTTTCACTGTCTTCAATCCTGTAGGTTATAAATCTAGGCACTTGCTATAGAGAAATTCATTGACTTCTTCTGGCAGGTTTCCAAAGTGGACATTCATTTTTGACTGATCCATGTATACTAAGTTTCACAGGTTTTACCAGATTATCCACAATACAGGAACAGTATGTGCAAGCAAAGAGACCAGCTGATACCACCATAGAACATTTTCTATTTGGCTCAAATTACCTTGTTAAACCCTGCTTCAGTCTTTTCAGGTAAGGGACAGTGCTTACTTCTGAACTGACAAAATATTTCTCTCTAATCTATCAGATTGGAGAGATAATGGAGAGGCAAGACAGCAATATGGGGTTGCCTAGAAAAATGACAGACTGCATATGTACATCAAATAAATTCCAAACACAGCTATCTATCCCCAAGGTATCTTAATTCCACCAGATATCATCTCACTGCTGTCTGTCAGTGATTACTTTGTCTAGCTTTGATATCGAAAACAAGTTTTCACCTTCAGCACAGCCATGCAGTGTGACCAGCATGTGATCGAAGAATTCAAGGCTGCACCAGCCATTCTCTAGACACTGAGTCCCACCAAACATGGCAGGAAGAGTGGGCCTTGGGTTGATATGGCTGCCAGTTCACCAATCCCTACAAATGTTCCTCATACTGTTTCATTCTAGGAATCCGTATTCCAGACCCTTTATTCTGACTATCACCACCTGCATCTTGTATCCTGGATTCTTCTATTTTGAAAATTATAAATAGTGCACTAGAGGTTATAGAAGAGATGCTTAAGATATGGGTGTTTTCACTCTATTCTTGAGGAGACCTGCATGATACATGAAGTTCAAGGTACATCAGAACTTTATAAAGCCTGATATAAAGATTGTGGGAAGCCCTTTGGGGAGAGAAGGTTATTGAGCCCCCATAACTGCAGCAGAAGGTGGAAGAGGAACTGGACAGTGGCTGGGAGCAGGAGAGGATCATCGCCCACAGCCAGGGAGGGGTGGGCTTGCTTTGCTTTGGTTGTTTGGTTTGCTTTTATTCACATGCTTCCATGAATGGATATCTTTCAGTGCTTCAACATCAACAGAGTAAGAATAAAATATGGGTCAGCCCCATCACAGCTCAAGGTGGGAGGATGACGTTAACTTGGAGCTAGACCACAACATGGTTGGAGTCCTCAGAAGATGGTGCAGCAGATCTGGCCAGCCTGGCAGAGCCCCTGAGCCCCACTTCCACCAAGTGGGACATGTTAGTGACAGAGAGGCTGATAACCACAGGGACTGAGCGGTGCCTGGAAAGGAAATCCCAGAAAGTCCTATGGTGGGGGAAGGCAGTAAGGAGAGTCCAGACCCTAGAATGTAACATTGGGAACTCTGTTCCCTGGGACAGCCCCAAACTTATCTGGAGGGAAATAAACTAAAGGCATGGTTTTACCGCATCACCCAGCACACGTTGCAAACAAAGCAGCTAGTAGTCCCATGAGAATAAAAGACGGTCTCACAGGAAATCTCTCTGGCCAAAGCACTATGAGGACCACTGAATAAACAGAACTGTCAATACTTGAGGAATCAAAACTAACATAATGATGTAGAGTAAGAATATGAAACAGGTATATTATCTTCTGAAGGTTTGCTGAAAAATCAACTTGCAGAAAACAGGTTAATTGGAGATAAGGCATACACATGTATTTAATGTATATACACAGTAGCCTTCATAATGAAGATGCAAACACATAGGGAAATTGTCTGTTTTTATGCTTAGGTTCAACAAAGTATGAACAGCTGTATAGTAATATGATTGGACCAAAAGTGTATGATCTAATGCTAATAGGCAGTGTGGGGACGCCCAGCAAGGACTGTCTATCTGGACTCTTCTGAGCCTCTCTGAGCCTGCATTCCTTCCTTCTGAGTTATTTGGGAGGACCCTGTTTGGAATGGGGTTATATTAGTCCATTCTCATACTGCTACAAAGAAATACCTGAGACTAGGTAACGTATAAAGAAAAGAGATTTAATCGACTCTCAGTTTCACATGGCAGGGGAGGCCTCAGGAAACTTACAATCATGGCAGAAGGCACCTCTTCACAAGGCGGCAGGAGTGAGAATGAGTGCTGAGAGAAGGGGGAAGCCCCTTATAAAACCATCATATCCCATGCAAGCAGTAGGGGATGATTCAATTATCTCCATCTGGTCCTGCCCTTGACACGTGAGGATTATTACAATTTGAAGAGAGATTTGGGTGGTGACACAAAGCCAAACCATATTACGGGTCTTATGATCTACTGTCAAGCAAGGTAAGTCAGATACTTTCTCTATGGCCAGTTTTTACACAAAAAGTCAGAGAGAGCACTTAGGTAATATTTTCAGGTTTTATGATTGGCTTTGGGGAAAGGGGGTTTTGATTTCTACGACCCGTCTTGGGAAAGAGATTTTTGTTTCTATGACTGGCTAAGGACTGAGAGACAGAAATGCAGGAGAAAGAGAAAAACTTTCTCTGCTAAGGCTGCTGCTGAGGCCTTCTTTTGGGAGTATTGTTTTCTGAACCCTAAGTGTGTGTGTCTGTGTGTGTATGTATGTATACACACATACAAATAATCTCAGAATAAAAAAGATATTGAAAGCAATAACAAGCATACATGAAGTCTTTGGGCATGACAAATGAAACTGATGAAATAAAGAGCCTTAATGGATGGAGTTTTACAAATGAGTAGATATAGTTGAAGAATCAATTTGTAAGTTGAATTCAAATAATGTCTTCCAGAATACATTCAAAAGCAATAATGTAATATGATGATTGAGAAAAATAGTTAAAAGATGTGGAAGATAGAAGTAGTAACATTAATTTAATAAAAGTTCCAAAGGGGCCAGGGGTGGGGAATCATGCTTGTAATCCTAGCACTTTAGGAGGCCGAGGCAAGCAGATCACCTGAGGCCAGGAGTTTGAGACTAGCCTGGCCAAAATGGCAATACCTCGTCTCTACTAAAAATAAAAAATTCGCCAGATGTGGTGGCACATACTTGTAATACAAGCTACTTGGGAGGCTGAGGCACAAGAATCGCTTGAACGTAGGAGGCAGAGGTTGCAGTGAGCCAAGACTGGGTCATTGCACTCCAGTCTTGGTGATAAAGTGAGACTCAAAAAAAAAATAATAATAAAATTCCAAAGGCAAGAAATGATTGGAAGAAAATATTGTCATTATATATTAGAATATTTTATATTATATTATATTTTTTATCACTTTTCATAGTGAGTAGTTATTTGCATATTTTCTTTTAGCATCTAGTTTGTCTATATCTTACTTTCATACAAGTAAAAAGTCTTTGCTTAAAAAAAAAAAAAAGCAGCACACACATGTGCATAAAAAACCACATACAAGATAATTAACAAATGCCTCAGTCCATGCAATGGAAATACCAAAATGTTAGCTAGATTTCTAACAAAAATGGTCCCCAAAGTTAGAGAAAAGATGGCAATAAACAAAACGAACTATGAAAAATGAAAAATGATGGTAAATTAAGCAAATCACTACACTTAACATATAAAAAAGTATCTTCCAATAAAATGGAAATCTCTTTGATAATAGATGGATTTCTGAAAAGCCAAATTCAGTATATATGCATGTATATTTATGTATGTGTATATATATGTTCAATACCAATTTATTTATATATATGTATATATGCACATACAAATATGTATACATATGTACAGACTAGTAACCATGAAATAAAATGAAATATTAACAATGTAATTTTGTATAGGTAGCTATGTAATTTTAAACTTCCAGGAAACAGGTAATCTCTATCTAATGGAACTTGTCCCATATAATACAAAAAGTGAAGTCATCTTAACACACTTCATGAGGCATCACACTTCACACTTTATAAGATATATTATAATATTGGATGATGATATTATAAGAACAAAAAAAACTCAATCAGGTTTTACTTATATATATACATTTAAGATCCTTAATAAAAATTAGTTTACTAATTTTATGAGAGCATAAAAAATAGTATATCATGATCAAGCAGCATTTATACCAAAGATTCAAGGAGAGTTCAGCCTCAGAAAATATAGTTATTTAATGTGTCATATAATGTAATGTAGAAAAGAATGGACAAAAACTGTGCGTGGGGGTGGAGGGGAAGACACAGGAATAATGTACGGAATCTGGGACTTGGCACAGAGGTTAGAATTTAAGAATTTCCTATGACCCCTTCTTTCCACAGTCAACAATTAATTTCCCAATTATGGAAGGGCCACCCATGCTTTCCTGGATAAACTTGAGAAAAGCAATACTTTTGGAGGACATAATGGAGTCCTTCCCAGAGGAGCCAAATAAATCCCTCTGTAATGGTATGCAGCCTGTGTCCAGGATGCAAACCAATCTCAGACGTTAACAAGAAATCTCAGCTGTATAAACCAAAGGTACAAGATGTTAAATTCAGGAAATCTCATTTTACACTAAACAAACAAGGAAAGGGAGTCTAACTGGGCCCCTCTGCAAACAGATCCTATAGCCTTCTTGGGTTCACTAAGTTGTGCTGAGGGATGATGTGGGGAAGCTCATGTAACCTTGAGCTGTATGTCTCTTCCCTTAGAGGTTAGGGAAAGAAAAGGAACAAATGTGGAACAGAAGTTTCAGAGACCTCTATGGAAAGATAAAGCTCTCAGAGGTATCAACCTTATATGAAAAGGGTCTTTTAAAAGGTATTTTATTAAGGCTATGGAGAAGAAATAACCTTTGGAAATGGAAGTTTTTCCATTACATGGAATATTTATTTTCCCTTGATTTTATACAGTCTACAATGTACTTTCATTCCTTAACTCATTTAATTTTCAGAACAGCCCTATGAGATATGTAGAATTAGCATTTCCACGTTTGTAGGAGAGCTGGTAGGTCAACTCTTGTCTTTTGAATATGAAAATTCATGTTTTTAATTATTATATCAGGATTTAGTCAGGAATACAGAAAGAACTCCATGTATTTTAATTAAGGGAAAGTGAGGCTGAAATCTTTTATCAAAAAAAAAAAAAAAAAAAAAGAAGCATGAATTCCAAGAAAATACCTTGTTACATAGGATCTTCGTAAGCATTGCATATCTCCTCTATCTTTACAGGTGTCTGGTCTTTTGCAATAGACTTAAGCAGGGGCAACCTTGTGTTCTCTACATTGTGCCTTTTCCTGGGATCCCAGAAAAACTACATTTCCCAGTCTCCCTTGCAGTTAGTTTGGGGTCATATGACCCAGTTCTGTCCAGTGGAATGAGAGGGGAAGTGATGTCTATCACTTTCAGGCCTGTGCTTCCTCTACCACCTTTTTGTTCTGCCACTGAAGCCCTGGAGTCCAGATTTTCCAGACACCTTGACTATAAGATGGAGGAGAGCCACTTGCCCTGCAGTGACTTTGAGTGAAAATAAATAAACCTTTATTGTGTTAAACCATACAGATTTGGTGGTTGTCGTAGCAGCTAGCTGATATTGATTACCCTGTTAAAGGGATGCCAAGACATTGGTATATCTTATCTTGCTTAAGAACAATAGACAGTTGTCAGTCTATTTCCTCTACTTCCCGAAAAAAATCAACACCTGTTAATATCATTGGGTTCCTGACTAGCTTATGGACTGCTTGTGGGTAGGGATGCTGTAAAGCTCCATTTCATACCCTTCTCTTTTTTTATTAGGTTGGTGCAAAAGTAATTGTAGTTTTACTTTTGACAAAAACCAGAAAACAAGAAATAGTTTTGCACAAACCTAATAGAATAATACCTGACATATTGAGGGTATGCTGTAAATGAGTCTACAGGGACAAATGAATGACTTGATGAGTCATAATTTTGATGTATTTTCATTGAACGCAGACTAAAAGTTTTTAAAGTATTTGAATGATAAATATGTCTTAACTTGTTTTGCTAAAAATTTATAAGCAACTAAAAGGAGGGCTAAAATCTCGTTTGTGCTAATAACGTAAGTTTATTTGGGTTTGATTGTGTTTAAAATTTTTCTTATTGATTACACACAGGGAGCTGTGATCACTGGCCATACTTCTGATAAATCTGAGACGTTCTGTGCTCAGCAATGCTCAAAGTTCTGTTGGCACAAATATCTCCTTACTCTGTGGAGCCAAAGGAAACCAATGATGTTCCTGACTTCTACATGAGTGCCTTTGAAATGGGCTAACTTTAATGAATTTTAAATATGTTTCTTCTCTTTTATAATTCAATTGGTGTTTGGATTTAAAGTTAATTATCTAATTTCCTAAAGTAACTCTTCTGTGCATTCTTCTCTCTCTTGTTTTGAACACTCCAGAAGATTGGTTAGCCCACAGTGTCTAAGTGGTCTGTAAGTTGGAAGAGCGTGATGCAAAATGGAATTGGAGTGGCCCAATCCCTCCTCCCAGTGACCTAAGCTGCTTGGAGGAGATGAAGAAATGCTTGCAACTCTTTTAATTAACCAAATAGCTATTGGAAAGCCATGTATGCCACTGCCTGCCAGCAGCTATCATAGCTCAACCATCTCAGGGTTTCCTTCACACAAACAAGACTGATTAAAAGCAACCAACATTAAATAATTGCCATTGTCTTGTTCATAACTATAAAAGTTTTCTCACAGAAGCCACTGAGTCTGTTCATTTCCAGTTATTTGCTGCTTCTCCCTGACCCTGGAGATTCACCCCCAGGTGTCTGGAAGGAACAGTCAGGGAAGCTTCTGCTGAATACTATGTGCTGTGTGCCGTGTTCTGTGTGCTCCTGTTACACTGGCTGGCAGGGAGGTGATGGTAGGAGGGAGATGGGCTTGGGATGAGGAGGACACAGGGAAGAGATGGGCCTGGGATGGTGGAAGGAGGCAGAAGGAGAAATGGACAAGTGGGTTCATTAATTATCTGCTCTTCTGGAGCAATCATGAGCTCTAAGAAGAAAGCATTAAGTAGCAGGCATTTGATTATCATTTGAATCTCATTTGTACTTGTGAAAATGATTATGAATAGTAGTAATGAAAAATATAAATGTTTAGAAATATAATAGTGCTAAAGACTGTCCACCTAATCTTGTCCTTTTAGATATTTGTAAACCTAATGATCTATTGCTGGTGGATAACCAAACCACAGTGACTAGGAAATCATTCCATCATTCCATCATTCCATAAAGGTCTGCCGAGACCCTCTAGGTGCTGAGGACTATGGAAAGAGGCCACAGTCAGGGGAGAAGGTCTTTGCCCTTAATTGCTAAAGAATGAAGTGGGTGCAATCCTGGAACTCACAGCTATGCAGGAGTAGTTTTCAGATATGACAGGCCTGCTTTCCTGAAACATGTCTGAGCCCAGAATAAATATTTGTACTGCATTGAAGGGTTTTACCATTAGAAGTTGTATTCATTGTTTTCACTGATGCCCAGATGACCAGAAGTGAATATAAGGATTTCACTTGTCTTTTATTAAATCCAGGTTTGCCTTTCCAACCAAATAATAGAGACTTCAAGCTAGTATAATGTTTAGGTGAATATAAAATATGGAGCTACCACAGACAATGATGTCTACTCCTGAACGTTTGTATTTATCAAAGCTTTGAGCCCAAAAGGGAAAAATAATCAGAAGCCTCCCAGCAGCAAACATCTGGTGCTGTCTCCTGAGCGCCGTTAGCTAAACTAAACCTTCCTAGCTGTGCATCGCTATTTCTCTCCACAGGGCTGGGTACAACTTGAAGGCTTCTCTCCCTGAAGTTTGACAATGGAGGAGGAGGGCACAGCCTCTTGTTCTTCCAAACGTCAGTACACATGTATTTTGGGTTGCAAAGATTGAAGCATAGTATTTGGGGCCACTGAGTCTGGACTGGAACCATATTACATTCCCATCACCCTGGCTGTATGGTGTCAGGACCTGAATATTCTTTTAGCTATTCGATTTTAGCTTTCTAGTCTTTAAAAGAGCAAATGAAGCCACGCATCGGAGAGCACTCGGCGAGCCATCCTGTGCAGAACACACACTCTGTAAAGAGACTTTCCCCTCTTCCTGCCACCCTATGCCCAAACTGCCCCTTTTAGAAGAGGGATGAGGATTTACACTCTGCCACATGCTTTATGTGGATTGTTCCTTCACTACAAAGTTATAAAATAGCTGCTTTTATTATTCAGAATATGGATGAGAAAGCTGAAGGCAAGGAGACAATGAGAAATGTACTCAATTTTACCCATAAGCAAGTAGCTATGCCAAGATTTGAACTGAGGCATTTACAACCTAGAACCCTTACTCTCTCTTATTTTTCAAGAGTCTGACATTTGTGTTTCTCTATTTTCCCTGGACATTGGACATTGTAGAACAGGACACACACACACACAGACACACACACACACAACACACACACACACACACACACACAGAGATGAGAAAAAATTCTCTATTTTCAGTGGGAGAGCTGTAATTTATATCTTAGGACTTCAACATATAAATTTAAGGGTTAGGGGGAGCTTAGTTCAACCCACAATACACAATCATCTTCACTGTAAAAACTCACATATCTGAGCATGACTTTTACTCTCTAGTCTTCTGTTTTGCTTAACACCAACACCAACATGGTACCATCATCAGAACTAGCAGAATGTGCTCATCTTTCTGTGTAATGCACCAGCTAGTTTTCGAATTCAACCTTCCTACCCTCCCTGAAAGGCAGCAACATGTGCCCAGATCATACACCTAAAGGATGATCTTGTAGGGCCTCAACCTCAGGTCTTCTCTGAATGTTGTGTTCTTTTCATAACACCCTGCTATTTTGCTGTTAGATATAAGCAAGTGTACTGCTGGGAAACTAGTGACATGGTTGGGGACAGTCTGAATGCACTGTGATTTCGTGATTCCCTTTCTCATGGCACCAAATCATAGATTCACAACCAAAGGAGAAAAGATACTGGATGCGGACTCATTTAGAGCAAGAGTGATGAACCATGCCAAGGACCAAGTCTCTTCCGGTGAATAAAGTTTTATTATAAACACAGCCATAGCCATTCAGCTAGACATTTTCTATGTCTTCTTCCATGCTGCAATGTAGGCCTGAGTAATTGTGCTGCGGACTGTGTGTTCTTCAAAGCTGAAAAGCAGGTGGGCTCTCAGAGGACTCAATGACTAACGGGATGATGTCAAAGGATGCTGAAACTGGAGGGAAAGGCTCTGGATGTCCTAACTTGGAACACTGGAGCATGAAAAAGGAGAAGGATGGCAGCTGACACATTGAATATGTAAAAAATCCAGGAGCCCATAGCAATATTCAAATGATTAATAAGAGAGACAAGGCAGAAAAATAAAAGGTGTGGAGGGGCAGAAGTTCTTTAACAAAGAAAGCCAGCTAATAGGTGAATAACAGAATTAGAAAACAGCAATTCTTATTGGCACCGTTGCTATTAAAAATACAAAAAAAAAAGGTATCTTGAAGACTTACTGTATAAGTCTGCAATTATTATAGGCAAAAGTATTATAATACACAGAACAAGAAACCCAGGTGAGGAATCAAGGGAAAAAACAACAAAATCAGGCCCTTCGGCTTCCTTGTATGGTATTCACTGGCCTGTGAGAGAGTTGAGCCTCTTCCAATAAGCATGTGGTATGGTCCCAGGCTGGGCAGTGAAGGTTCCAGATTCTCCCACAGTTTCCTCCCCACCCCCAGGCTCCTGGCTTCCTGATGCCACTTCCCAGGTCCTCATGCTCTTTTCTAGTCCAGGACAGACCAGAGCTGAATGGCCCCTAGAGGAGACCATCCTATTCATCTCCCTCTCTTTCTGCAAGATGTGACAGTGTTTCATTTGTTTTATTATCTCATTTTGTAACTTTTATTTCAAAGGATACTAATTTTGCAACTTCCCTAGTGCTGATGTTTGACAATCCATATTCACTGAGTTTCTTCTCCCTCACAGTTCACCACCATCTAAGGGTTTTCACTGCAGATTCACCTCGATTGTTGAGTTAGTTCATTTTCATACTGCTAGTAAAGAAATACCCGATACTGGGCAATTAAAAAAAAAAAAAGAGGTTTATTGGACTTATAGCACCATGTGGCTGGGGAGGCCTCACAATAACAATGGAAGGTGAAAGGCACATCTTACATGGCAGCAGACGAGAAGACAGCTTGTGCAGGGACATTCCCTTTTTAAAACTCAGATCTCATGAGATTTATTCACTATCATGAGAACAGCATGGGAAAGACCTGTCCCCATGATTCAGTTACCTCCCACCAGTTTCCTCCCACAACACGTGGGAATTCAAGATGAGATCTGGTTGATGACACAGCCAAAACATATCAGTTGTCATCACGTATTTCTCAAGTCTCCATAACAACCAAGGGCCTGCAATGTGCGATAGACTGAACAGTCAATTATCTTAAGTTTGAATCCAGATTCTGCCATTAATTCTCTGTGATGCAGAATGAGTTACTTAGCCTTTACGCCTCAGTTTACTCATCTGTAAAATAAAGCTATTCAACACTGTACTTAGTTGCTAGAGTTGTTGTTACAAAGAACCCCAGATCCTGTGGCTTAAATAACAGGAATTATTGTCTCCCCAGTGTGGAGGCCAGAAGTCTGAGATGAAGGTGTGAGCAGGGCTGGTTCCTTCTGAGGCTGCAAGGGAGAATCTGCACCAAGCCCCTCTCCCTGGCTTGTCTTCTCCTGTGTTTTCTGCGTCTTCTCCCTGTGTCTTTTCACATAATCTTCTTTGTCTGCCTCTGTCTCCAAATTTCCCCTTTTCATGAAAACATCAGTCACAGTGGATTAGGGCCCATCCTGATGTCCTCATTTTAACTTGATCATTCTTGTAGAGACCCTATCTCTGAATAAGGTCACACTCTGAGGTCCTGAAGGTTAGGACCCCAGCGTATAAATTTCAAGAGTTAGGGTAAGCTTAGTTCAACTCACAACACACAATCATCTCTACTATAAAATCCACTGGAGATGAAATGATGTGTAGGATTTAGATGCGAGCCTGTTTCATGGTGAGCCCTGAGTAGGTGCTATTTATTACTAATGCATCGACTTTCTCCTTAGTGCTCCTTGAGGAAAGATTTTACTGCCTCCAATCTTTTCTACAGGTCACTTCTGAGCCTCTCATTATCTTTAGAACTCTCCTGTGAGCTCACTCTTAAAATCCTTTGACTTTTTATTTGCAAAGTCTAGAAATGGGAGATGGAAGACAAGAGATTATTTGAGAATAAAACACCTCCAACGAGGATCTGATGGCTACTGTGGCCTGGGGGTACTGGTGGCAGCCTTTGAACTTTCTGCCAGGTAGTCGCTCTACATGCCCAAGTCCTACCTGCTCCTTGCAGGCAGGGCCTCCTCCCTTCTCCTGGGGCCTCCACCCCACATCTTTCTTGGAGCAGATCTTGCCCTCTCCAGCTTCTACTGGGCAGGTTGAACTTGTCTGCCTGTGGACCAAGTTCCCAGTTTTTCCAGAAGAAATTTTGGATCTGACTCTGGTGGGAGTGGACCTCACCTGTCTATCTTAGCTTCAAGCAGTGGAATTAGGTGAACCCTACAGGCCAGGGATGTTGTAGCAATTTCCTCTAGCCTCTTCCTATTTCTCATTTTTTCCTGCAGCAGACACT